CCCCCGAGTCTTTCGGTCGCTGTATCTTTCTCCTCTCTGTCTGGACTTCTCAGACCTGTGTATCTTCTGTCACATACACATACACACATGGTTAAACTAACTTGATCAGGGTAGAGAAGACTAATGATTATGCAACATCACCGTGAAAGAGAACGCCTCTTTCGCCAATTTGTTTCATTGTATTTAGTTGCTCATTTTTAAAGCTAGGACACTGTGTACTTTAAAATATTTATTTATTATTATTAAGACATTTATTCAGTAGACATTACAGTGTACCCACTGGGGGAAAATACTATATTATACTTTCCATATAAAAAACAGAAATAATTGTTCTTATTCAAATAGCCTTCCATTGCCGGAAGGCATTCTACCTCTAAACAGGTAATTGATAGCAGTGAAGCAACCAATAATCTAGATCAGGTCAATGTTACAGCTCATTCAGGGTCCTATAAATTGAAACTCCGTATAATAAAGGGAATGCTTTATGAAATTACTTGTAATGAAATGTAATTTAACTTGTATCATAGTTGAGTTGAGAGATTGATGTTGAGTGTCTTTATTGGCTGCTGACATACAGGGAATTATTGACACCAACTGCTGTTTGTCTTTGTAGGCAGTCAACAACTACAGGAGTCCCATCTCGCCCCATCAACCTGTAGATAATGCCAATGAGGATATTTATGTCAACTACCCAACCTTCGGTCGAAGACCCAAACCTAAAGTCTGAGCTTTTCACTTGACCTGAGAAAATTAATATTATCTACATGGACCTTATACAGTTTCTTCCTACCACCCAATATCTACCTTGATGCCAGTTGATTGCATTTGTTTCACTTGCAAAAAATCCTGCTTTATGTAGAGCACGTTCTTAACAGGAATGTTTCAGAAAACCTGAATTTAACTTCTATATAAAAGAAAACTGACTTATAACAGAACAATCTAGGAAGACCACGCTTCGCCTGAAGGGATTGCTTACCAGGACTTCAGTGTCATGTCTAAAATCAAGTATGAGCAAAAATTGTTTTCTGGATCCCCTCCTCCAGGGCTGGATCCACTTCTCTGGTTTAACCTAACTGATGCAGTTTTCTTTCTTGTGCTTCTCTGATGGCTACCAAGACTGCAATTTGGACATCTTTGTTCTATGTTTGGTAGAGAGTTTGTTTGTATTTGGTTATTTGCCTATCACTAAGTAGGGATCTTGGCCACAGTAGATGAGATGGCTTACCTGGATGGTCTGGGACCAAAGGCATTACTGGCTAATTCAGGCATGTTAAATGAAGGAAAGGGATCTGGAAGCTGTGGAGATTACCGATAAATGTTAACCAGAATGATTATCCATGATTATCTCTTGCTAATCAACTGAAAAGTGAGTATGGGTGGAACAACATTAGTTTCTCTCTCTCTTTCTTTTCTAGAATTGCTCTATCAGCATAGTCCAGAACAATACTTGGAAGGAGAAAAAATAAACAGTAAAGGGGAAGATAAAAGTGACAGGCTTGTCTCTTCCCTTTCTAATTTCAAATACATTTATCTCTGATTCTACATGTAATTCTTGTCACCATTCACAACCTAGCAAATGTAGTGGGTGGTCTTATTAGAAATAGCTTAATCTTTTTGCTATTGCTTTTTTCTTTTTCTCTACTTTTAAGAATTATTTTTAATGTATAAATTTTCTCAAAACAGATACATAGGCATTAAGCTTTTCATCAATTATATGAAACTTGAATACATGAGAAAAGAATGATAGTTGGAAGTAGTGGTTGGGTAGAAATTTGCAAGGAGGAGAGTGTGGAGAAGGAATAAGCAAGGAGGGAAAGGCATCAAAGAAAGGAAGATACAAAGGGAAACTTCTTCACAGTTTGGACAAAGACTGACATGAGGACAGTCTAAATAATTAGAGGTTGTACCTGATATTGGCTAAATTCTAAGTATATACAAACAATGAAAAGCATTTGTGAAATGAAATAAACCTGTTATGGTCACCTTGAAACCACAAAGGTCACTATCAAATAAAGTGATCATTCATATATCAGAGATTCAGTACTTAACTCAAAGATCTCTAAAAGATATCTTTTAAAAACTCATGATAGGCTTCATTTAAGTATCAGTTATACACTCCACAATAATATTAGGTAAAACAAGTCCAAGTTCTCATGTTGTCTACATGAATACTGTTATACTATGGTTTTAAGCTACTTGGTGCCTATTTTGATTTTAGTTTTAAATATCACGCACACCAAAGTGTACAATTACTGATATGCAGAAGGCAAAGTAAGTGATATAAGACAAGTATTTTTAGTTTTACTTATTTGTGTATGCAAGAAGAGTTAACTATGATTTTTATTATATTTTCTTAAAGAACTTCATATCTAGATTCATAAAATGTTTCCACAGACACATTAATGTAGCAAGGTTAGAAGGCCATTGAAAACAATCTCCCATCTTATTAAGCAAACATTCTGTGGCTGAATCAATCAGTTTGCTTTGCAAAGCAAATTTAAGCATCATTTATAAAGTACATTATTTCTTTTTCTTAAAAAGTTATGGACAATCAAAATATTACTTTCTGGAAGATTCTGATAACTAATTTCTCAATGATTAATGTAAGTGAGAAGGAAAAATATTTCTACAGTTGCAGTATGGAAAAACAGGAATCCCATCTTAGTAGAAAATGTTACCAGAGGTGAAAAACTTTTATGACAAACCTCTTAAGGGTGCAAAGCCTCCAAAATGTTTAGAATTTATCTGTGTTTCACAAGCATTTTGATTTAAAAAAAAAAAAAACAAACTCTTAGTCAAAACAGTTATGAGAACTATTTATTGTGTCTCTTGTTTTCTCCATGTTCTTTCTCTGCAGATTTGAGGGTTTTTTAGGAATTTTAGGCCTGTTCCAGATTCTCTGGCATCCACTGCTGTTCCTATCACAGTCAGCTGCTATGCTGCTACAATTTCCTTCATTCATTTTCTTACTTTGCACATTTTTTGTACATTTTTATTTAACCAAGCTCTTTTATTGTAATCTCTTTAGTGTTCAACAGAACTCATCAGAGTTTTGTGATTCTACTTGCTACTTTTTTTCTTACTAATTCTTTTATGCTTTCTATTTTGTTTGTTACTAGGAGAACAAATCAAAATAGATTCACAGAATACGAGGTCAAGATCAGAATACAAATAGATTATGTTTTAAATATTTTTTTTTGTAAGGTGCTACTTTTGAAGCTAAATGGTTCCTTAACATTTTTTAAACATAGATAATTGACATTGATATATAATACATTAAATAAAAATCTGTCTTTTCTTTGCATGCCATTACCTTAATATTTACATCAAATAAACAAACCAAGTAATGAAATCACTGTGGGATGATAAGTGTGTTAAATGTCATAGCGAACACAGTTTTATCAGAGAAAGAACATATTTTTATTAACTTACAATGACTGTTTATTGACTATATTATTATTAGAGAGACTTTCAAACTTTATTTAAAGACCTTTATGTATAATGGGAAAATAGAATACAAATTTCTTTTTTCTTCAACCCAGGGCCTTGTTCATGGCAGGCAAACATTCTACCATTGAGCTACATCCCCAAATCCAGAATATAAATTTCATCAAATTATAATTATTGTTACAGATAGGAGGTAGGTAGCTGAAGATACAATTTTCAGTAAGTAAAAATTCAAATTTATACATTTTAATTAAATCAGTTTTTAGCAAAATGCTACTCATTAATTTAAATACAGTGAGTATCAATTTAAAAGATAAAATAAAATAAACAATTTCAATACATTTGCTTTTATTTAAATATCAGTTATGTTGGTTTATATAAAACTATATTAAATAAAAATTGCAGCAATATTACAGTAATTTTCTAAGCTGGGAGAGTCTACACTGAAATTAGAAATTACCGTAATCGAATGATTCTCCTGGATTTATATGTTGTGCTGTATTTGCACAGCTTGCATAAAATTTCAGTAAGATTGGGGATATTAAAGAATAAAGCTGCTTAGAAATTACAGGTGGGGTGTCAAATTGTGAGTATGAAATTTCCATAACAGTGACATGAAAATATCTTTGAAAAGTCTAAAAAATAAAAACATGTAATGTCATTGTTTTATCATCATCACTGGTTTTACTACTATTAAAATATAATATCTAGAAAGTATTAACCTTCATGTTCAGGTTTTTTTAATCAGGTAATATATCTTTTGAAATATTTATTGAAATTATTCTAACCAAGTCACTGGGCTCTTATACATATATTTAAAAAATAAAAAAAAGATTGTTTCTTTTCAAACTTTTCAGGCTAAAAATGCAATTAAGTAATAGAATGCTTGCCTAGTATGTGAGACCCTGGGTTCCATCCCTAACCCTGCAAATAAATCCATCCATCCATCCATCCATCCATCCTCTATTGCTAATGATCTAATAGGCTTACAGAATTAATTGTAATGCTTTCTATGGAAGCTGTATACATCTTCCAGGTTGGTTTACACATTATATTTTTCTAGATTCGAGGCACTAGCTATTGTTTCAAGATGTTGTTAGAAGAAGTCTTCTTGGGCTGCTTCCAATAGGGAAGGGTGGAGGGGTGAAGGGCGCACAGGTAATGGGGAAAAAATAAGAACCAAGTTACATCATGTACAGGTACAAACACCCAATGATAAATGTAAATGAATTGTATACCTAAAATGTACCAATAAAAGAACTTAAGAAAAAAAAAAGAAGTCTTCTTTAGGTATATGGGTGATCACTGTCTAAGATATTCCTGGTTCATTGCCTTTTGTCCTTTTTCAAATAAATGGTTGTCCTATCTAGAGCATTGTTTCCAGTTTTAGTTTCCAGTTATTTCAGATTCTTTATTTTTGGGGCATGGAAATGTTTGGCTTGATGTACTGATGTTTTGAATGAATGATGTTCTGTGTTTTTAAATGAATAGTGTTCTACAATCACCAGTTCCATTTACTATCGAAAAACAGTAGGGGATAATCCTTACAAAATTATATTAACATAAAGAGTTAAATATAGAATAGCCTTTTAAGCACAAACATGTTGTAACTTCTTTTGTAACTTCATTTTGCAATATTCTGTGCACAAGGGTTTTGTTTTTCAAACAGCAGTCCTCTCATTTGCATTTTCCTCTATTGAGACAACAAATTTAACTTCTTTTGACTGATTGTTTCACTCCACTTTTCTGATATATCATGCTTATATAACTACTAGATTTTTTTTTTTTTCAATTTTAGACATTCTTTATTCTGAGGCTTTCCTCTCCCCAAAATTATCATATATGCATAGTCTTTTAATGTCTCTATCCTTCCAAATTACTTCTGTTAAAACATTGGTTATATCAATATTTGATGATACAGTGTACTTTAAAATGAGTTAGAGCAAAGCCAAAAATCATGTAAAAGATAAACCCATTAGAATTACAGCAGGGTACTCTACACAAACTTTAAAGGTCAGAAGATCTTGAAGTGAAGTATTTCAAGTCCTAAAAGAAAATAACTTCTGACCCAGATTAACATATCTGGCAAAAGTTTCCTTTAGAATAGATGGAGAAATAAGATCATTTCATGAAAAAGAACACCTCAAGAGATTTATGAATACCCAACCAGCACTCCAGAAAACACTCAAGAATATAACAGGCAGAAACAATGAAACCAAGATAGCCAAAAACCCAGATGGAATGAATACATCAAGCAAGTCAAATAGATTTTAAAAAGGGAAAAAAGAAAAAGAAAAACAAAGGAGTCCTCAACAGAGAAAGAGCACAATGTTAGGGATTAATCAACTCCTATCAGTAATATTGCTCAGTGTTAATGGCCTCAAATGAAAAGACATAGATTGGCAGATAGGATCAAGAAATAGAATCCTAAAGCCTGTTGCATTCATGAAATTCATCTAACCCAGAAAGATATTCACAGACTAAAAATCAAAGTATGGAAAACAATGTATTTCATGTACCTGGACCCCCCTAAACAAGCAGGGGTAGGAATTTTACTCTCAGACAAAGTAAACTTCAACCTAAAACTGATCAGAAGAGACAAAGAAGGTCTCTACATACTAGTTGAGGGAAAAATCCAACAAGAAGAAACAACACTTGCAAATATATATGCAATGAATACTGGAGCATCTGTTTTCATAAAACAAATACTGCTGGACATAACAGATCAAATAAACAGTATCACAATTATAGTATGTGATCTCAATTTTCTACTTTTCCAAGAGATAGATCAACTAAACAAAAAAAAAATCAATAAAGAAATGTCAGAGCTGAACCACACCCTTGAACATAGGGACTCAACATGTTCCTGCCAATTTGAACTACTGATGGTACATGAATGATTGTCCCATTAGGCACTTGTATCACCTGTGGAACACTCATGACTTCCTATGCCATCCAGTTGGATAATGATGCATGTACCTCCAGTGGTTCAGAGTCACCCAGCACTGAGGCATATAAATTATAGTCCTGTCATGAATGCTATAATAGATATCTACAGAGTGTTTTACCCTACTACCACAGAGTACACATTGTTACAGCACATGGAACTTTCTCTAAAATAGATCACATACCAAAGCTTGCTTAAATAAATGTGAAAGAATTGAAATCATCCTGTGTTTATTATCAGACCAATGTTCAATGAAAATAGAAATCAACTACAGAAGAAATCACAGAAAATTTAGAAACAACTAGAAACTTAATAACATATTTCTGAACACCCAATTTGTCACAGAAAAAAATCAAAGAAAGCAATAAACAATTTCTGGAAGCAAGCAACAATGCTAGTACAACACACCAGAACCTATGGGACACAATGAAAGCAGTCCTCAGAAGGAAGTTAATTGTAACCAATGTTCACATTAGAAAAATAAAGTGAACTCAAATAACCTGGTGAGGATCCTCACAATATCTGAGAAACAACAACAACCCAAGCCCAGGCCAAAATTAAGGAGACAAATCATAAAGATGAGAGCAAAAAATAGTGAAATTGAAACTAAAAAGAACAATACAATCAATGAATTGAATAGCTGGTTCTTTGAAAGAATAAACAAAATAGATAAACCCTTAGTCAAATTTACCAAAAGAAAGAGAGAAAAGATTCACATCAGTGCAAATTAGAAAGGAAAAAGGCAAAATCAAAACAGACACCATCAAAATCCAGAAGATAGTAACTACTATGAAAAAACAAATAAAAAAACATTGGAAAATCTTGAAGAGATGGTTGGATTCCTAGGCTTATGTGAAATACAAAAACTAAGCCAATATGACATAAAAATATTGAACAATCCAATAGGAAACAATGAAATTGAGCCAGTAATAAAAAAATCTACTAAAACCATCCCAGCAACAGATGAATTCACTGTTGAATTTTACAAAATCTTTACAGATGTTATATTACCAATATTTCTCAACCTCTTCAATGATATTGAAAAACAAAAAGTGCTTCCAAACTCATTTCTTGTAAGCCAGCATCACTCTGATCCCTAAACTAGAAAAAGATCCAATTAAACAAGGAAACTACAAGCCAATCGCCTTAACGAACATAGTTGAAAAAATTCTCAACAAGATATTGGCAAATAAAACGCAACACATTGTCAAAGGATCAGACGTCATGACCAATTAATTTTCGCTCCAGGGTTGCAGTAATGATTCAACATATGCAGATCAATACATGTAATACATCACAGAAACAGAAACAAGGACAAAAATAAAGTGATCATCTCAAAAGATGGAGGAAAAGCTTTTGACAAAATCTAACAGCTGTTCAGGATAAAACCTCTGAGGAAAGCAGGTATAGAAAGACTTTACCTGTTCTGATAAAAGATATTTATGACAAACCAATGCTCCGCATCATATTAAATGGGAAAAACTGAAAACTTTCCTTCTAAAATAAGGAAGAAAACAAGGATGGCCATAATCTCCACTTCTGTTCAACATAGTACTTGAAACATTACCCAGAACAATCAGGCAAGAGAAATAAATAAAAGGGATACATATAGAA